AAGACCATTTCCCTGGACTAATTTAGCAAGAAGGTCTTCTGGCCTAGACTCCTGTTCCCACACATGAAAGTGCTGTCCATTCTCTGGGCCAGAAGGACAACAGGTTACCCTACTCTCTCTACCACCTATTCAGAACCCGTGCCACTCTGTCAGCACCATCCCAAGACTGGGTCTCCACAGCCAGTCTTGCCTATTGGGAGGACCTGCTCACCCAGGTGTGCAGGCTCCCAGCCAAGATATCTACCTAGAAACCTGAGAATGAGAGGGAAACATTCTTCATCTGAGAAAGGGCTGCCATATTCTGATACTCAGGTTGTGCACTGCACAAGGGACTAGCCATCACTCTTCAGTTATTCTGAAAAGGCAGGGGAGGGTACTGAAGTGAGGTGTCTGAATCTGGTCTTTCCTAGAGCAGTGCCTGTTCCAGGAATCTGGGTCCCCTCTCCATCCTTCTCTAGGTCTTTCTGCAGAACTACAAGGCTGGGTAAGGTGCCTCCCTAACCCACAGGTCCCGCCAGCAGCTCAACACCACTACACACCTGTCCAAGGCTCTCCACTTCCAAGCCCGCCAGGGCTCAACTGCCAGCCAACTGAAGAGACCAGTGTTCTACCTTAGCTGACCCAAAGCGGCCACAGGGACCCAGGCTGACACCCACAGACCCCATGGCCTCCCGGGCCGGCCCACAGAGCAGGGCTCCCTGAGCCCACGCAGTCCCAGCACCGTCCAGCCGACAGTAGGCCTAAGGGCTCAGCCGGCTCAGTGCTGAGCACCCACCCCTTCCACTCCCCCTCCCACTCCCACAGCCTTTGTTTCGGCGTCACAATAATCGTCAGAGCCACCATCATCACCGAAGATGTGTCTCCCAGCAGCCATCTGGAGAGTTCTGAGAAACCACCTTGCAGCTTCCCAGAAGTCCTGGAAAATCAGGCTAAAGACCAAGGCACTGTGACACCAACTTGTCTGGCCTCCTCAGTGAGGGGCCTACTAGTCCCCCACCCCCACCTTGCAGGGACTGAAAATGCAAGCCTTTGTAGGGTCTGCTTGAAAGAACTATGCCTCCAAAATTCCCCATTCCTCTCTCCAAGCCTGTGAGGATTCCCCTAATATCCTAACCTCTCCCCATCAGGAAGTCCTTCCTGCTACCTAACCTCTGTCCTCCTGCTGAATGTCAAACTGCCCCAAGAACTGTCTCGAAAGGCAATGTGAGGACCCTATTGCAGACCTGTCACCCACCTGATGTTTCCTTCCCTACCCACACATGGGAGAGTTTCTGGGACAAGGATGTGTCCTGGGTTTTGTATTCCCAGAGCCTGGTACACAGAAGGTGCCAGAAAGAATGAATCAACCAATGAATTGATGGACGAGTCCTAACACATCCTCCTGCCGCGAGCATCTCCTGTTGCTCCTACTGCTCTCTTCCCAAACCTGCCTTCTTTCCCCCTTATAGGAGCCTTGGACAGCTTCTCACCTCGGAGCACTCTAAAGCAGCAGACTCTCCGAAGGCATTGCTCATCCCAGGAGCCCAGACCTGTGTCTCACACTGACAGACATCAGGTGCACACTGGGTGTTGACTGGGGTTTCTGGGGAGTGACACTGGCGGCCTGGGAGCCCGGCCGCTATCCTGTGCCAACCCACCCTCCTCCCTGAGACATTTTGGCGCACATTTGTCAAATTCATGGCCTCTCTTTTGCACACAGAGGCCTCCATGGCTCCTCCCTCCCAGCCCCCTGGTCAACAGCCATCTGAAGAAACAGGCAGGGCTGTGGATTCTGGTGCTGGCACAGGGCCAGCAGCACCAAGCAGAGGTAGACTGACCAGTGTGCATGTGCAGAGAAGGGTTAATGGCCTGCGCAGCCTGGCACTGCTCTTTCCATGCCTCAGTTTCCTCACCTGGCCAGGCTGGAGGCTGGAGGCTGGAATTATAGGCACGTGTCACTGTGCCTGGCTAGCCCATCCCTTGATACGGCACTGAGCTTCTCCTCTGCCACCACTGCTCACGGAATCTGACGGTCATAGGACATCAGATCTAGAAATGTCTTTGAGACCAAGGGCCACAGCAAGAGACTTATGGAGCCAGAGGGCAGGGGACTGGAGAAGGGGGCTCTGGGCACCTGGGCAGGCCACACTCCTCGGAGCCCCCACCATCAGCTGTCTCCATCTGACAAAAGAAGCCCTGTGTCTGTATCTGTGTATACAATTCTTTACAAAGTATGAAAAATGCACATTCCGGAGTGTTCTGGACTCTGAAGGATGAATTAATGTCTGCCCGAAGAGGCTCGTCTTTGAGACACTCGCACCTCACACCACCCCTTGGGCAACAGACAACTACAGCACTTGGAGGGTGAGGGAGGTCACAGAGCCCACCCAGAGCACAGCTGCCCTTTGGGATCCCCAGGCCACAGATCTCTCCTAACTGGCATGCTGAACAGTCACTGTAAAGCTCCTGGAGGCTCTCAGCAGTCCCCTGCAGCCCCCACTTCACACCTTGGAGCAGTGCACACTACGACCTCCCTCCCAGCCAGAGGTGGGTGCAGAGCAGCGCTGGGCTCCCCACTGCCATCCATCGTAGATCCCAACAGCACACTTAGCACTTGGCTCTCGGACTCTACCACTTTGCCCCTGCCCCAGGAAAGAGCCACTTAACTAACTGCCACTCAACCTGTGGTGTCCTCTAAGCCTCTTGTGAAGCCTCCTTTCACAGGTGCAGAAACTGAGGCAGAGAAAGGATTAGCGATATGTGGGCCAGTGAAGCCGGGGGCATCTGGTCCCCATCTCCCAGTAGCAGTATAGTCAGTCCCTAGGTAAAAGGTGTTATGTCCCAGCTCATGGTGACATCAACTGTTCTCTCTATTCCTTACCCAAGGACTAGTGCTGTGGCCCCAGGAAGGCAGTCAGCACCCAGGCTCAAAGTCTGGCTGGGTGAGGGGCAGGGGGCAGGACGCAGAGGGAAGCTAAGGATAGTTCTCCTGCTGCATGGGTCAGGATGTGACTGACCAACTTTCCAGGGGCTCCAGAAGAATCAGCAGCAAGAAATCTAGGTGCAGCCATGGCCAGGCCTCTGCCACCCCCACTCCACCCCGGGCCTCCCTTCCAAGGAATCCCTGCTACTGCCCCTGCCCATATACATGGCCTTTGAGCACGGCCCAGAGCAGAACCTCCGCGGACCACCGTGCTGGATGTTCACTGCACAAGGGTGCAGGCAGGCACAAGCCAGTGTTCCAGTGCTATCTGTGCACAGCTCAGCCCTGACAAGAGCTGCGCCAGCCCAGAGCACCAAGCACTGCATTCTCATGCCCACCAAGGCCCCAGAGGGTCCAGGAGAAGCCCCGCCACCCCTCCGAGACTCAGGTTGTTCCCATGCACTCCAGATCAGGGTGCTCCCTAGGAGGGAAGGCAGAGTTCCAACCAGGCTCTGTCCAAGCCTCAGTTTCCCCAACTGAGAAGGAAGGAGCATGCTCACATCACTCATTCCCCTTCCTCCCTTCCACAAGTGCCCTTGGTGGGGACAGTGTCTGGGCCCAATCCCAGTAATTTTTAATAAGATCTTTCTCAGGGCTCAGTTCCGTGATCTTAATCTCTTCCCCTGCTCTAATTTCCTGCCTGACTCAGGTCCCTCAAAGCCTGGAGGAGGGATCGGTAGCTGTTCTTGCACCCCACACCCCAGCCCCTAGCTCCATCCTGGCCCTGGAGGACACAGAGAATGCAGCAAGCTAATTGGATCATCCTCTACCTCAGCAAATGAGGAGGGGTACTGCCAAGCAGCTGGGGGTCCACTGACCTGGTCTTGGCTGGCCATTTCCCACCGCAGAGTGCCTTTTGCCAAGTCTGAAAATCCAGCCTCTGCAGCATCTGAACTCAGAGCCCACTGGAATGTGGATGGGGCACCCCCTGCGCACCAAGCCTGCAGCACCAGCTTCCCAGCCAATCCCCGGCAACAATGCGTTTTGCTGGAAGATTTCAAAGCTTGCCCTGGGTGACTGGAGCAGAAGCCTGCTGGCACCTTTCCCCACTGCGGAATGGCAGGGCAGGAAACTGAGGCTCAGATGCCGCACCTTCAAGAAGAAGCGGGAAGTTCAAGCTCCCATAAGAGGATCCTTCCCATGCTTTTGGATGGGGAGAAGATACCGGGAGGAATTGCTCCACCCTGGCCTGTCTGAAGGTCACTGATGAAAAGGGACAGCAAATAATGCTAGACATACCCCTGATTTTTGTTGAATACCCACTGTAGAGTAGACACGTTGTCAGACCTATAATGGATTGTCTCGTTTAATACAATCTAATGATGTAGGCATTTCTATCGTTCCCATTTCACAGATGAGAAAACTAAGATAGAGGCAGATTCTGTGACTGCCCGAGTTCACAGCTGCTAAGTGGGAGAGCCAGAATTTAAAGCCAGGTGGGCTGGCTCCACAGCTGGCACACTTCACCAGGACAGTATACTGCCCCCCGCAGGAATCTAGGGTTCATCCCGTTCCCCACAAGAAAGGAGAGGGGTCAGAAACCCTGGACCACAAGGCCCTGGAATCCTTCCCTTCACTGGGAAGTCATACACCATTCCCTACTCTGTGCCTAGGCTCCCGCGGACACCCCACACACGCACACACACTGAAGGCGAGGAGAAGACACCCCTCCCAGCCCCCACCAGGCCTCTCCTCCCCACACTTAGCCCAACTACTGCTCTCTCCCCGGCCTGGCCCACAGTCTCGCTCCCCGCTCCATCTCTCCATCCTGCCAAATAGGAGGG